ACTTTTCCATTTTGCATTGCGAAACAAAAATTTTAAAAATTAAATGAAAACAAGGTTTTATCTAAATATAAATGTGCTTTATTTTAATTGTGTCAAACTATTTTGTACCTGATTGTGTTGTAAAATTTTGAATTGAATTATATTAGAATTTATCTATTTGTTTATTAAACCATTTTAATGTTTTTTACAAACTGCAATGAATGGTTTGAACTTATAAACACATTAAATAACTTACAATTTAGTTTATTCTCTTTTCCTGTCTACAATTTTGAAATATGGTAGTCATTTAGCTTATTTTTTATTTAATTTTTAAAAAAATTGTCATAAAAGATAAGCTACATTAGCCTGATATATTTTCATACAAATTCAAATCGTATTAGAAATCGTTCAGTAAACCAAATTTTTTCACTCCTTCATAAAGCTTATGCTCTTTAATAAGTTGAAAAGGTTTATAAATTTTCTTTTTCAATTATTGTGAAATTGAGAAAATGTTTGAAAAGAAAATAAAGAAAAATGTTCTGTGGAAAATTAATAAGAAAAATTCGCATTTTGTTCATTTAACAGAGTTTTATCTTAAATTATATGTAGAGTCTGGACTGAAGAAATTTGGAAAATTTACTATAAAAATATTGCATACATTGAAGAATGACAATTTTAAACAAAGGAAATTTGGTTTTTGTATACGCTAAAAGACAGTTTAGTTTTGTATACACTGCAAAGCAATTTTATAACAGGTGGTTACGTGGAGTACTAAACAAATATAAATTTTTGCACTGATTTGTAAATTTTGGCATGTTCACCGGATTTTATTCTTTTAGAACCGGATTTTGTCTTTGCGATATACAAAGTTTGCTAAGTATAAAATTTTTTAAGCATAACCTTTATTAAAAAATTATATTTTTGTGGTATTCTATAATAGTGGTTTTATAACTTTATTTCAGCATGAACAAAGTTTATTGATTGAATTAAAAATTCAATAATTATTTAAAATTTATTCGGTCATTCACTGATTGACAGTTGCTATGTGATTTTGTTAATTTTTTGCATATTAATCGTGCTATTTTTAGCTATTCAGTAAAGTAATCTTATAATAATTTTTTTTTGGATATTTTATTTGTGTAATACACCAACTTATTTAAATTATTATTTAAAAAAGTAGTTATTGCTGAATTTCAAATATTCAGAAAAAGTTCAGCTTGGTAATATATTAAAATTGACTCCCATCCCTATGGCAGAATTTTTTCTGGCTTTCTGCATCAAACTTCCCAAGCATTAATATCTGTCTTTAAGATCTCTTTCTTTAAATTATAATAATTGTTAATATAAAGTAACAGAAATGTTTTATTTACAAAATGAAGTATAGAATAAAAGAATTTTTATTGTAAAAGTAATATTTTTAATTCTAATATTATAGGCGCTTTCTCGCATTTTGTAGGCGGAAAAATGCACTAATTATTTCCTCTTTTGAATTTTGTAAATCATTACAAAAATTAAAATTCGTAAACAAATGTAACGATAATAAATTGTAATTTGTGCAAAAATTAAAAAATCGTAAATCCGTGCAGTAACTCCAAAATAAAGATCAGTAACGAAATCACGTGAATATGACTCTTTAAAAGAATATACTCATATAAGTGTGTGTAAAACATAATGTTCTTTTTTTAAAAAATGAAAGAACATTTTTAGAGCGAACTATCTTTTTTCATAGTTTCTGAATTTTTTATTTTATATTATTAATTTGAAATTCCAGCTGAAGCTATTCATCGCGGATTTTATTTAAATCCCAAATGAGCCTAGAAAAATCATTTCCTCTTTGATGTGCGAGATAAACATCATTGAAAAAAAATTCTGCAGAAAAAAAGATTTTGCGGAAAATTATGCAGAAATTAAAACCCAAAATTTTTCCTTCCCAAATGAAAAATCTTTCTGCGAAAGACTTCGTAACGTTCTGCTACAGTGTCGCCGCAATTATGCCACGGGGGCGCCTGTCTGTTTGTCACTAGGTGGTTCTTCATCCCTGTACCTGCTATGACATCCGCAATCATACTTTAAAAGCATGTGAACAATTTAAATTTTACCATCAAGATCAAAACTCTTAAGAAGTAGATTAAGTATATAATTTATGATGTGTTTTTTTTATAAGACATATTGATGGTTTCGATTATATTGAGAAATAATTAAGTTATCAACTTTTGAATTTATATTTTTTTGTACTTTTCTATTATTTTAATGCTACTTCACTTTCATGTTAAATATTTGTTTATAGATCAATCCATTATGCAAGAACTTGGTTGCTAGCTCAAAGTTTAGGCGTCAAAGCAATCAGAATCGGTGATTCAAGAAAGTTTTGAGATAAATATTTTATATTTACACCAGCTGCAGGTATATCAAATTTTAACTTACTACTTTATTCCTATTAAATTTTTTAGACTTTTTTTTTCATTCAATGCAATCAATTCCATTTTAATATCAATCATATAAAAATCAATATAAATTTTTTCTTCATATCAATGCGAATCTTTTACTGTCTGGTCCTGTTGGTAAATGTTAAATTAAAAATGCGTGATATGAATTAGGGATGTAACGGTCCTTTTGCCAAATATTCAGAAGTATTTTTTTATTTTTTTTCGGAAAAGTATTTGATAAAAGAAAAATTTTGGAATTTCATGAGTTTTGAGACATATCTGTTAAATAAGTTCTACAACTTGCTCACGTCTTGCAAATGTATGTTCTGAAAGGCAATTGAAAACGCAAAATCTAAATAATTGTAACTACTAAACCACGTGTTTTGTACTGCTGATTATTTTTTTTAAAATTATATTCAAACAAGTCAATTTACTCATTTTTTAACCATTTTTGAAAATTATGAATATTTTATTTTTGTTCTGTTTTTATTATAGTGCAGCTTTTTGACAGAACATTTCTAACTTTATTCTTTTCAAATTTTTTTTCTGTTTCTCTTTTGCTTTTTTTTATTAACTTTTCTTTTTATTTATTTTTTCTCATTTAAGATTGCTTTTTATTTTTTACCTTTGAGCATAATCTTATTTTTATGATAGCACTGCACTTTTAAAAGTTTTTCTGGCAGACTATATTTCTTTTAATGTTTTATGGATTCCTTTATTCTTGAATTTTTTTTTTTTAAATTTCTATTTCCATTCTTTCTATATTTTTATTTATTTATTTTTCCAGTTTTACAACTTCAGTTTTTCAATTTATCTAATGGATGACTATTATGGTTTTCTTTTCTTTTACCCCATACCAATAATATAACTTTTGATTAATTCTCACTAGTGACTAAACTTATTTATATATAAAAAAACATTTAAGAATAATTTGCTCTTAGGCAGTTGAATACTCGTCAGATTTTTTTTTGCGAAATATTTGGTGTTCAGCCAAATCGCTATTCCTTATATCCTTAGTGAAAATAGATGTTTTGATTGATTGATTTGTATTTACAAGTTTAGTGGTTAGGTTTTGTGTAGATTTTCGCATCTAAACTTCCATTCTTTCAAATGATATAATAGTTTGTATGGCTTAAAATTCGAAACTTTTAAGTAATAAATAATTTTTAAAAATTATATTTTTGCGTAATCGTTGATTGTGCATAATTTTATAATTTTGTGTAAAAAAAATTTCAAATTGCTTAAAAAGTTCTTAAGGTATGATGGACACAAAAGTAAAATTTACCTAAAGTAGTGCAAACATTTGACCTTTTTTCCTTATTTATCACAAGATGCCAAAAATTGGCGCCACTTATCTGTAGTATTTTCATCTGAATCATAATGTTTTCAAGGATATTTTCATCCCAATTTTCTGCTGTTATTAATACTATGAATTTGCCATCATTTGAAAATTTATCCATAAAAAGATTCATTTGAAATCTGCACGAATGTTATTTCTCATTGTCTGTCTTAGTTATTTGAATGCCAAATTTATTTCAACTTATTAATGATTTGAATATGTAATAAAATGATAGAATCTAAGGCAAAAGTTAGATTTTTAAAAAAGTTTGTGTTTTTAAAAAACCAATGCTGCGATTTATATTCACACGATTTTAGAATCCAATATAACGATTTAAGGAAAGAAAAAGTTTTTATTGAATTATTTACTATCAAGGTGTGATATTCTTCATTAGTAAGTAATTTATTTAAAAATGTTAATTCTAAAAATATGTTAAATGTGAAACATGTATGGCTCAGAAATTGGTATCGATTTTGTAGGCATACAATTTTCATGGTTTTTCACTTTGTGTCATGGTTACCCCTCATTGACTTATCCTGCTTTGTGCTCCAATCGCAGTTGGCAAGGTTTAGGACAGAATGGATTAATCCACGGTTGAAACCAAGGTTTAAACTGTCTTGTCCAAAACTTAAACTGTTGTATACCCTTTTATTCAAATTTTGTCACAATTTTAAAAAAAAATTTGGAAAAATAAAAGGTTAATTTTTGAACAAGAAACATCACAAGTTTTCATTTTATTAAAAAAGTTTATTTTTAATATTGCATTTATTTATCCTTATGCCAAAACATAATTTATCAGTATAAAAACATATTTATTCTTATTTAAGGGATAAGGTATTCACTTTTGTTGTTCAATGAATTATAGAGTACAAAAGTTATAAATCTTTTCTTATTATATCATATTATTTTCCTTTAAGAAGTTAAAACAAATTGAATAAAAATTATCAAATATTTATTAATATATGTAATTTGTATCTGTGCAATGGTTACACAAATAGAATTTTTGCCTTTTACCAATGCATTTGGTTTTGAACACTTTGAGACAGTTTTAGTCAGTTTCAGACAGTTAAACCCACACGTAATTGTCCAAAGCCAGTTTAGGACGTCCAAAACCCCAACCCTGGTTCCGATTTTTGTTTTTTACAAGTTGGCAGCTTTGTATTTATGGATTTAATAATAAATAAATATTTTGAACTGTTTTTCATCTGTAATTTAGTAATATGCTAATTTTTCATTTGCAGGATAACACGTAAACAATGTCATCAGCATCATCTAGTAGTGAAAATAGTGAATCCCCTAGTATGCGTCCTCGTAAAAGAAGATGCAATCACCCAAAAGCTACCACAGAATATTTGATACGCTGGGTGAGAGACCACATTGTAGAACCCTATCCAACTGAAGAGGAAAAGACCTCTTTAAGTCAAAAGGTCAATTTGACTCCAAAACAACTTGAAGATTGGTTTACCAACCTTCGTCGTCGTAAGCTGGAGAAAATAAGAAAAGATATGGGGATAGATCTATATTCAGTTGCTCATCAAATGCCTACAAAGAAACGCCATTCCGCAAGACAATTTGAGAATTACTCCAGACCGCACATCAAAAAACATTCTCCGATTAAAAGACAAAGCACCTCCAATGAGTACTTAGAGAATAACAGGACAGAATCATCACGTATCGATGAAGTCACATGTTCTAATCAACCCGGTGTATCTCTCATTAAGAGATCAAATTCCCTTTCAAGCCTTAATGAATCTTCAAATGATATGAATACAAGTTCCTTTGTGGAAAATGATAGTAACTTAAGGTTGCTGTGCTGGGTAGCTTTGAATAGTTCTTAATGCCATCTCTTAAATGGTGAGGTGTCTTTCAAAAGATTCATCTCAGGGTTGCCACTCCACAGGGAAAACCTGGAAAATATTTTAAAATCTGCCAAAAAACGGGAAATACAGGGAATTTTAAAATTTTCCTTACAAACTGAGGGGAAAGCAGGGAATTTTATTTCTTATTTTTGTCTTTTAAAAAGTGCAAATCTATAAATGGGATATTTAAGGATAATAGTCAGCTGTATTATATTATTTCATTTATTATAGCATTATTTGTTTTATGGTGAGCTGTTTCTTATTTCTCCCAAGTTTTTACAGCGACTAAAACTAGCATCTTTATCCTAAGATAGTTCACAAGAGCACAGTGAATGCTTAGTTGCCAACTCTACTGGATTTTGCCAGTTTCTCCTGGTCTACTGGTTTAATAAAAGTTTTCCTGGTTTTGTACATTTTAGAAAATTCCCTAAAATTGTGTAAGTTTCCTTTAAAAAAATCCCTTGCAGATTGTTGCTTGTCTGAATATTTAAATAAGTGGCACTGATACATGATAAAGCGAGCCTCCTTTATAAAATTCTGTTAACTATCTTTGATAAAATAAATACCTATTACTATTCAAAATAATGAGTAAACATAATACATAGCATTTCAAGAGCATTTAATGTGAAATTATAGCTGGAAAATATTGCAGTTTTTCTATTTTGATGACTTTAAAAATCCCTAAATGTAAAATATTTAGTATATTTAGCAACAATTATCTTGAAATTTATATTATTTCGTAAAATCTACTAGATTTTTCCCTATCTGTGTTGGCAACTATGTGTATTGTGTATAATATGTGCAGGAATTTTTTTTTTACAGATATGAGTGGCAACCCTGCATCTTTTTATATTGGAAGTCGTATTCATATCATTACATGTCCAAGGTAGGAAGTTCAAATACGCCTGAAGTGTTCATTCTCAAAAGATTCATCTTTTTAAGCTGTACAAACTCATTACTCATTAGTATTCCATTTGTTTTTAAATATTTCTTGAGCATTTAAAGGATTTTGTGTAAAAGAATAGATTTTAAGGACAGTGTTGGCCAGGGCCTGTTACATGAGATTTCTCTTGACATCTCTTCTTGATGCAATTGCCCTGCAGTTTATATTATGTAGAATAAAAGATCAGTACAAAACGCAGAATAAGAACATCCAAGTATTTTATAAAGCCAATTAAAAATAATTAACCTTAAAAACTGTTTAATTTTTCGAAAATGGAAAATTAGGGCTTTTAAGAATACTGAATTTTCAGTATCACTATAGTTCATAGAAGCAATTTTTCAGTTTTCAACTGAATAGATGGTGCATATCGTCAACAGCGAAGTATAAAAACTAGTTTTTCTAACTATTTTTTCAATGTTTTTCCTAAATTTATTTAGGACACATTTTTTATGTTTTAAAAACTTAATTTATTTAATATATATTTTAATTATGTTAAAAACAAACAGAAAAAAATTCTAATGCTTACTCAATTTAATGTAATCATTAAAAATGGTATATGAATTAGTTTCATAGATGTTATTAACCCTTAACAATCTGGAATTATTTCCAGTTTTCTTTTTACGATTATAATATTTATTATTTTAAAACACTATAATTAAGTCTATTTTAAATAAGTTATTGATTTTTGCTATCATTAATGTGGCATAGGAAGCAGTAAATAAATATATAAAGTTAATTTATAAAATATATTTTAGAGTTCAATAAAATTTTCAAGATACATAAATAATTTCATTTCATGGAAACTGATAATTTTTCATAAATGAAGCAGTTTGATTTAAGTATAATGTAATTCACTGTAATTAGCCTAGATATTTTTTTTTTTTTTTAAAAATTTCGTATACGTAATGAAATTTTATTTATAAAATCTATAATAATAATTTAAATGAAAAAATATTCGTAAGAATTTAGGAGTCCCTCTATCAAGAACAGATGCTTCTCTTTTCCATAATTAAAGGCATGTCAGTGTGTTTTTTAAACAAGTTGAATGCATCAAGTTAAATTATCTTCCATTATTTGCAATTCTTGTTCAAAGGACAATAATTCAAATTTATTTTGATTTTGAACCAAAACTTATTGATAATAAATTTTGAAAGAAAAAAACCACTTTAGAAAAAGTAGGTTTCTTCATGTGGGCCCACCTGAAGATACCCGCCCAGGTTCGCTAAGTTGCCTGGGCCTACTTATGCGAACCCTGGATAAATACTGTTATATGAGTACTTGCATTATACTAGAAATTTTTTTTAGAGAAAAGTAAATAATTGTTTTTATGGGTGTATGTATATTGAGTGATAAACTGCTGTACTATTGAACCCTGAGTTAGATAGCCTTGATTCTGGTAACATGACAGAGACAATTTGTAGACTAGAAATATCTCTACTCTAGACAAAGTATTAACCTTTTTTTAATTTAATTTATAACACAATTGATTTTTTTTTATTGCAAAAAAGACTTTTATTACATATTTAATGAACAAATACTTGGCAAACTTTCATGCTATGACAATCGCTATCTGTCATTGTCTTTTAAGTGAAATATATATATATTTTATTATGCTGATTGAAAAAATGTAATCTCTTTTAACTTTTCATTTTATATGACTAATGTTTTTTCCTTTCTCTCTTTTTTTTAAATCTATGTTTATTTTAATGTATTAAATTGAGTGTTTGATGTACTTTCACCTGTTCTTTCATGCTATTCTATGAGAAAGTTGTATGTTTTTAGGAAAGGTCAAAAAAGTCCAAAAAAATTGAACTTTTTTGTGGTAGTGTTGGAAAATAAACAGCTACCATCATTAAAGAGTATGCAGTTTCTTTATAACCATGAATCAATGTGACCAAAGTTATGATTTAAAAGATTAAGATTCAGAAAATTGTAGATTTTGTTTGTCAGCTCACAATAGGATATAAAACTTGCCATTGCTTAGCAGAAGTATCTGTACAAAATTTCTGATTTTCAACTTAATAGTATCTACTTCACGTCAATGATTGAAAAAGTACTAAAGTATCAAAATATAGTTTCCTTCGACATACTAGTTTTATTTAAACATGTGCTGCCAATTTCATCTAGTTTTCGACTGTCATATTTTAGGTTTTCTGAATCAATTTTGTTTCAAAATAGTCTGAATTTCCGTATCAATATATTTACGTATTTGAAAATTGATTTGAATTTGTGATTGAAGTAAAAAAGAATTATTTTTATTTTCTTAAAGGAATTTAAAAATTTATAATCAAAATATTTATTTACTACTGTTTCCGAATTGTAGGTTATAAGTCAAAACCCATTGTATTGTGATATTTTTTTATTGTGTGTAGATGTAGTCAGTATTATGTTTTATGTAAATAAAATTTATGCCATAAACATGTTTTCATTTTTGTCAGCAATAACAACGCCAAAGAGAAACTAAATTTCCATTTGATAAACACAATACACTTCTGAAATATAGGAGTGCACAACCCGCAGATGCCTCTGAATAAAAAATAAAAAAAAATTCCAATTAAAAACAATTTTGAATTCCACATTTGAGTCATTACTTATTGAGGCATACAATTTGCACTTTGTAAATCTATGTTTTTCGATCCTTTTTTCAACATTTTGTTATAAAATCCCTCATGGTTTAAAAAAAAAAATAATATTTTTATTACAATGCCCGAATTTTGTATTTGAGTAATCACTTTTTTCTGGAGCTCTTGCTTACTGACAACGTCAGCTTATTATTTTCATTTTTTAATTTTCTTTGTTTACAGTTTGTTATTGATTACAATTTTCTTGTGGAATTTCTGCTACATTGCGCAGAAATAGTGTAAAAAAGTTGTATTTAATAACTTTTTTTTTACATGAATTTTGATCTCTTTTTACTACCCGATATTACCCTATTTTCCCCTATGTAGTATATAGTTTAAGACTCTTTACTATCCCTCTCTATTATAATTCAATATTTCAAATTTTATGATAATGATTACACAAATATACTAAGATTTAATATACAACACAAACGTGCAAATAACTGGATAGAAAAAGATGTACAAATAATCGCATTTATTACAGCCCCCTTTTTTGCCTACACCACAAGTTATGAATCTTGCGAACAACCTGTTTCTATATTGCTCATTTTTTTACCAGGTAGCTGAATAATACAGAATTTTTGCTGAGTACATAAGGTGAATAATCTATAGCCTATTGTGTACACATATTAAATGAATTATATATTCAAATCTCTAAAAAAAGAAGGCTTATATTAACCGTGTAATCAGTTGAAATCTATTCCACAAAGACTGTATTTTAATAATTATTAAATTAGCTAAGAAAATGTAAAGAGTCATGTTACTAAGGCCTATTGATGTATAGAAAAATCTGACCCTTTGTAAGGTCAATCTAACAACCGTATAAAAGTTCTATACTAATATCAATTTCCGTGTATATCTTAACTTAAACTGCTGACTACAGTTAAAAATTAAACTGTCAATGACTTCAAAGTTTAGCGTGCACGGGGTGGACAAAATAATGGAAACACTTCTAGACTCATATTTCTGAAGAAATTACTAACAGAATCATTTTAAAACTGCTGAGGACATCAACACGTGGTTTCTCACGCAGGGTACGTAGCGGTTTTAAAAAGTGCTACTAAAAAAACTTTTTTTATTTGCTGTGTCGACTGTTGTTTGTTCACAATTACAACAAATGCATGATTTCCACAAAGTTCTCTGCAATATTTTTCAGAAACTATGTATTTTATCATTTTTATGTAGCTCTTGAAAATTTTTTTGAATTTTATTGATTTTATGTTTATAAATTAAGAACTTTGAAAGACAGAGAAAAAAAATTTTTTATTAGTGCACAGATGCTAATTATGATTTTTTTTTTGTTTGAAAAGTTATTAATAATATTTTTAAAGTGCTTATTTTTTGTAGAAAAATATGGCTACGCACCCTGTCACAATTATCAATGAAGTTTTAAGCTTTTAGAGGTTTGAAGGACTGACACTAAGTTACGAACCGAAAATAGTACTATCGAACACTTTAGGCAAAAACATTTGTAACTTTTAACTATTATTTTGGTTATTCTATGCAATATTTGCACAACAGTTTTTTAGGCATAGGAAGCAACAATTTGCTAGACCTGAGGGTCCGGAGTTCGACCCCCATTAATGGTCAATGTTTTAAAAATTATATTTTATATATATATATTTTTTTAATATTGTAACGTAAATAAAATATTCCTTTTCCTTAAATTTTCTTTTCTTTTCTATAAGAACGATTAATTGCTCCCAATAGTTTACCCAGATGAGCTGTCTAAAGTTTGGATCCCTTAATGTTAATTTTATTTTTTGAGTATTTCGCCATATCTCGAAAACCTTTTTAGCGAATTGCAGAATTTTCACACAATCACAAAATTTCTTTATCCAAACGTAGCTCTATTCTTTTAAAAAAAATTTTATTATTAATTTATTTAAAGATAATCAAATAAACTTTAATTTGTAAGGATACAAATTTGTACATGATTTTAATGTATGTATTTTTAGATGAAAAAAAAAATTGAGTGCTATAGGTCGAATAGTTCGTGTGAAATCGAGTTTTGAAAATATGACTCTTTTTAAAATACTATACGATTATTCAAAAAGTTATTCCAATCAGAACCTTTTTTATGCATATTTCATCATGTTTTGCTTTTAATGTCAGTTTTTCTTAAATTATATTGGAGAGTTTATTAGCATTTTTATTCTTTTGTAGTCATTTTTTATTCGATTACATTTGGAGAGTTTATTTGCACTTGTACAACATGTTTATTCTTTTGATGTCAGTCTTGCTTAGATTATACTTGACGACAACTTCTGGTAATAATCTTCCTCCTTTTCCTTCCATTGTCTTCAGATTCTTACGGTCTTTGGAGAAAGTGTACGAACCATACAACATGATGGAATCGTAATCAAACTCGGTCAGCAACTGATTCTCTTCAGGTTTTAGTTTGAAAAATTGATCTTCGAGTCCTGCAGAATAATAGGATGTAATTTAGTCATTATTTTATTTTATAACCGATCCAATTTTTTGAGTTTAACTACCAATGTGCAACCTTGTAATTTCGTACCCAATCCAGAAGGCAAGGCAACTCCTGGATCAAGCATTGGGAGAAATTTTGCCTTCGTGGCCGACTTTTTTGATGGAGCTAACCCGCATTTGCGTTACATGGAGAGGAAGACCACGAGAACATCCCACGGTTCGCCTCGTGACAAAGGGACTCTAACCCATGATCCGTCTACCACTGAGGATATTCACTGTGGTCGGTGCAAGCTGGATGCGGAATTCGTATCTACCAGCCATCGCTGGGATCAGACCCCGGTTCACCTCATTGGAAGGCGAACGCTCTATCCCCTGAGCCATCGCGACTCAATCAGTCATTATGTCAGATTTAAACAATCGGAAACGTACTTAAGTCCACATTCTCATGTCACAAGTCTCAAGACATAGAAAGACGACTCGAGACATAGAGTTCAAACGAAAACTCCCTGTACCCCACCCAATTTTCACTTTAAAATATATTTCGATATTTTGCGAATCCTCTTTTTTTTTTCATTTTTTAATCTTTTCTCGCAATAAACACAAATCTTAGAAATACGGAACTACTATTCTGCTTTTTTGGAACGGTGGAAAAAAAAAGCACGATTTATTATTACTTTATAATCTAAGTACGAAACGTCGGGTTTTAAAAAAAGCTGAGCTCAAAATACATATTTGGCGAATATCAGGAGAGAGCCACAAAGTTAAGAATTCAGACGCGGTTTTTATGTCTAAAAAATAGCACTTCGTCTATATATTATTATAATGAGCCACCAAGAGCCGGGATGGCTCAGGGGATAGTGCGTTCGTTTTCCAATGAGGTGATCCTGTTTCGAATCCCAGCGATGTCTGGTCGATACGAATTCCGCATCTGTCTTGCACCGACCACTGCTGATGTAAAATATCCTCAGTGGTAGACGGATCTTGGGTTAGAGCCCCTTGCCGTCAGGCTAACCGTGGGGAGTTTTCGTGGTTTCCCTCTCCATGTAACGCAAATGCGGGTTAGTTCCATCAAAAAGTCCTCCACGAAGAAAAATTTCTTCCGATACTTGATCCAGGAGTTCCCATGTCTTCTGGATTGGGTTCAAAATTACAAGGCTACGGAGTTGAACATTAGTACACGTAATCCCAAAAAATTGGGTCGGCTGCTCAACGACAGTTATAAAATAAAAATATAATTATACAATGAGCCACCAAGTGGTCATTTCATAAAAGATTTCTACCACTATGATTTGAACTTATATACACACTAAAAGTTGAATGATGTGTTTTAGCTCAAATATGCAAATGAATTAATAACAAACAGTGACTTGACCTTCTTTAATATTTTTCCAGTATATGACTAGATAGTCATCTCTATCAGATCTGTTCTGTTCGTGGAAAAATCCTATAGCATGTCCTAGTTCATGAACAATGGTTGCCGTAAAGCCACATCCATGACCGAGAGAAAGAGGCTGAGCACCACCTGTTCTTCCAACGTGAGAATAACATCTGCAAAAGGAACCGTTAACTCAATAACATTTAACTTTCTTTCTACATAAAACGATTTTTTAAAAAATAAGTTTCCTTAACATAGCATAATCAACGCCTTTAATAATGTCCATTTCTATAATCCCTGGAAAATGAAGTCTAAAATTATACATAAATCAAAACTTTATGTTAAAACGACTACGTAAAGAAAATGCTATCTAACAATAACTATAGTTTGTCTAAAATAAGAACTCCTCTAGACGTTCGTCTGGACTCGTGGCGGTGACTATGGTAACGAGGTATGACTATTTCATGTAGGGGTGTGGGGTCACTGTTTTGGAGTGGTTTCGTCTCGGGACGGCGAGAGAAAGGGAATATCTTTCTTCGGTCTATTGTGTTAGTCCTAGAGTGAAGCTACCCTCCCTAAAATGCACCATTCTTGTTTCCATTCCATTCAGACTTTGTGACGGGAGGAGTTCTTAGCTTAGACAAACTATACTGTAACTTCCTTCAGTGAAATTTGTCTGCTTGCTGAAGGAAGTAGAGATAAGTTGAAAGGCAAAGAGTTTATTTTGAATCTTACCTTCCTCAATAGGGATTTTTTAAAATTTTTATCTTGGTTTTGCTTTATTATTTTTAACGTGGTAATGCATAAATTTTCATCAAAAATATCATTGTGTATCAGTGTTATCGCAAAGTAAGTAGAATAAAGAACTTACCCTTCTCCAGGGAATAGTCTTAGATAATCTTTCTCAGTTGTTCGTTTAATAAAACGAATGCAGGTATTTTTCTCATATTGTTCAATTGCACCTTCCAATCTCAGAAAAACTAAGGATAATTTAAAAAAAAAAAAAAAAGAAAGAAAAAATCAAGCTTAGAAGTAGTTGAAATTAATTCCGTGCTGCCTGTAGACTCCTTATTATACATTTTTAGAATTCTCGCAGAAAATTAAAATCACATCTGAGCTACAATTTAATCGTTCTAGAATCCTTACCGAAAATGAAAAACAAAAAATCATATTATAACTCCTTAAAAAATGAATTAAAATAAATAAATGAAAAATAAATCTCTATAAAAAATCACAATAGAGTTTTAGAATCCTCGCAGAAAATAAAAATGAATCAAAAATCACATTATAGACCAAAATTAATATTTTACCCATTTTTCGAAAATTTCATCTTCCTCAATTATCTTTTTAAAATCCTCGCCGAAAAATAAATTAACAAAAACCTCACATTAGAACTCCAAATTAAAACTTAATCGTTTGAGAGTCCTTGCCTTAAAAGAAATTTTAAAAAAATCGCATCTTAACTCCAAAATAAAATTTAACTCAGAAGAAAGTCTTTCTCGAAATCAAACGAGTATCTATAAAGAAACAGAGAAGAGATGAAATTCGATTATTAAAAACAGTTCTTCAAGCTATAAAACAGTTTTTAAAGTTTTTCATCTCATCTTCCTCAATAATGATTCAACAGTTTTTTATAGCATTTGTGTTTCATCATAACTGACTATTTACTAAATATGTATATTTTGCTGTTTAATTAAATTACTTACACACTGTTTCTCTCAGACTTGGATCTTCAACATATGGCACAACGCCATTTGGCCACAAATATTCAGGATGTACAGTAGCGCTTCTATCCTAAAGGAAAAGTAAACAAATCTAGATTCAAACAACATAGTCGTTTTATTTAGTTATCAAATTACATGAATATGCTTTCAAAACAATCTAAAAGCTTTTAAACTCGCCTCACAGAAATTTAATCAGTGCTATCTCTTACGATATATAACATAGAATTATTAAACAAAAAGATTATAGTAGTTTCGCAGCCTTACTGGAACCCTAAACTTGGCGACATATTTCCATAAATAAAGAGAACATTCGTTCTTGAGAAAAAAAACAACTATATGACGACACTTGAGTATTGGATTTGATTGGATCTCTAAGAATGGCGCGTCTTATGGTGACATGCCGTTATCAAATCAAGAACGTGACCATTTGTCAGTTTGATATTTCACATATCTGTTAAACGTATACACAATAATAAACAAAATTCTTTTCATTTAAAAAAAAAAAATAATGCATTTCATTTGTTACCTTTTATAAAAAATAATTTCTGAAACTACGGAGGTTCCGTAATAGTTGGAGGGTATTGCCAAGTGATTTTATAATTTAAATTCTTGTGGAAAAAAAACTTTATAAAACTAATGAAATAGTTAAGATAAGAAATTATTCATAAATTTTCCACCTCCTTCATATTTATTCTTTTCCTTCACCTTAAGATCGTCAGATCGAAATTAAAAAAAGTTCTTATTAAAAAGATTCTTACGAAGTCTGGAATTCCAAGGATATCACCACCCAACAAATCTGGATTTTCCAAAGGTAGGTTTCCAAGATGCGCTTCAAGAATAAAAGAAAAATCATTAGATTTCCGTTTCAGTAATAAAGTATTAGAAAGCAAGTTGTATATAATTTAAGAATTTATTGAGAGATAAGTTAAGCTACGTTTCTTGTAGAAAAAACCTACACCGCCTCTCAAAGATTTTTTTTAAAAAGTTAGTAGGGGAAAAATACGTCTTTATTATTACAATAGGAATAATTTTTCGTTTTTCTAAATTTGATAACAAATGAGATCTATGTATTTATCTTGCAATTGTTATACTCTCATGTTTATGCTTGTTTAAGAGAGCGTTTATAACGGAGTAGATAGAAGAGTGTTTTAACCTTACCCAATTATAAATGTTTACTGCTCTTCCCAGGTAGCAAAAAGATATGATCTAATATTAGAAANAATGTTATGTGCTACTTGGGTTGTTAACAATAAATCCTACATGAGCCGCGATGGCTCAGGGGATAGAGCGTTCGCCTGGGTTCGAATCCCAGTCGATACGAATTCCGGATCCGGTTTGCACCGACCACAGTGCTGACGTGAAATATCCTCAGTGGTAGACGGATCGTGGGTTTGATTACCGTCAGGCTAATCGCGGGAGGTTCTCATGGTCATCCTCTCCATGTAACGCAAATGCGGCTTAGCTCCATCAAAANCACCGACCACAGTGCTGACGTGAAATATCCTCAGTGGTAGACGGATCGTGGATTTGATTGCCGTCAGGCTAATCGCGGGAGGTTCTCATGGTCATCCTCTCCATGTAACGCAAATGCGTCTTAGCTCCATCAAAAAGTCCTCCACGAAGGCAAATTTCTCCCAATACTCGATCCAAGAGTTCCCTTTGTCTTCTGGATTGGGTTCAAAATTACAAGGCTACGTAGTTGAATATTAGTAGTCGTAAACCCATAAAATTGGGTGGTCGGCTGTACAACGACGGTTGTAAAGTAAAATAAAATAAATTCTACATTAAATGTGCAAAAGAATAATTATAATAACCTTGAATAACTTCATCTTCACGTTCTGCTTAGATTATCTTTGGAGAGTTTCATAGCCTTTGTAGAGAGCGCAAAAATAAATAAAAAAACGAACCACCATAAGTAACTTCTGATCTAATGATGGGATCTTCCTCTTCTAGCACTTCATCTTAATGGTTCGAGGGGTATGACCTCAAATATCTGAATTAATTAGGGAAAACGATATTTTAAGTTAAGGAATCAGACACAAAAACGTACTTTCTCTGAATAAGCAAACCTTTTTTTCGACGGATTTGGATTTCTGACTTCCAATTTATAGAGGCAGCCACAATCTGGGAAATAAGGTCCTAATAGTTTGGTCAGGAGAGCCGTCCAAAGTTTGGATCCCTTAATGTTATTTTTACTTTTTGCAATTTTCACCATATCTCGAAATCTTCTTTAGAAAATTGTAAAATTTCTGCACACAATTATAAAATTCGTTTATGTAAAGATAAATTTCTCTAAAAAAATAAATTTCAATAAATATTTATCATTTTATTTAAAACTAATCAAAAAAATTTTTAATTATCAGGGGTGCAATTTTTTTACGTAATTTTAAATCATCTAATTTCGCTTGGTAAGATACAAAATTTGAACGAAATTGGTTGAATTGTTCCTGAGAAATTGAATTTTAAATAATATAATTTTAGTGTTGGGGACACGGGCAGGTGTAGATAATAACGGGTATACTCAATTTTTATGTTTAAGAGTTCCATTGCCCGGTATTCACTACACTGATTTTCCCCCCTAATCTATTGGGTATCTATTAAAATATCTAATAAATGTTAAGATATTACAGAATAAATTAACATCAATTATATTAAAGGTTGGTTGCCTGTGTAAACCAAAATATGTCATGTTTCTAAGTGTTGATGAAATTGAGTACTAAATTTACTACTAAATTTGCATAAAAGATTGTAATACTTGTCCCTTAATGACAAAATAATAATAAATATTGTCACGTTAACGACAGGCAGTGAATGAGACAAAAACAATTTCAAAAAAATTGGCTTTTTACGTAACTATAAATGATTAAACAAACATTTTAACGCAACATTTTGAAAACTTACGGGATGGAAATCCAAAACTTCTACAGAATAAAGATAAGAAAATCGCCACTATTTTTGGAAAGAGCATTTTCATCAAACGGCTGGTATGGAAATCAATTGAAATGCAGTAGCATAATTATCACTACACTCTGATTTCATATTAAAAAATAACAGGTGCTATTTTTCTCAGAAAATCAAGAAGCATTAAAGACGATTACAAAAAATGTATATTGCGCAAAATAAAACGGAATAACTAAACAATTTCTTATTTAAGGACTGTGTTTTTAAATAATCAATTCTGCCCTTTAATACTAATTTTAATTTATATATATATATATATTCAAAGCAACTTTCTAACTCGCACATATTTGCATATGGTGATTGGCAACGCAATAGATGTTAAAAGAGTCTATTAAAAATTATTGTAAAATGAAAGATCAATACTATGATTTAGAGAGTTAACTTCAGAATGATTTTTTTTTCTTTCTAATATTCTATTGATACAAAAATAATGGATAAGAATCTTTTAAAAATGAGACAAGATATAGTATTTAAGAAACCTTACCATATACCTACTACAAGTGAACTTCAAGGTCGGAATAGCCAGGGCGCTGGACTCACGTTCGTGAGAACGGGAGTTCGAATCCAACCAAGACTCCCCTTGTAGTAAATGGTGTACGTTAAATCTGTCGGGTTACACAGTCCTCCATGTTCCCAAAACAAATTATACCTCTGGGGGTACTGAATCGGAGATTAGTTGTTCTCTGGTTCAGGTCAAAATTACTATCTGTGGATCTATGAATAGGTCCACCCTATAAACGGGTGTGGCAGAAGTCGAATTCTTGGCCACAGATGGCGCCACTGGAAAACAAGAACCCTCTGCCTTAAAGGCCGACGACAGCAACAACAAAAAGTGAACTACAGAGCAATGTGACAGAAGTAATTTCTTTCCTTGCAGCAACGATTATTGCTTTGTTTCATAAGAAGATTGATTGTGTGAAACAACTTACATTTTTTTCAAAAAAATTGAGCTGTTACAAGTTTAAGTTTTTCATCACAAGTTCAAGTTTTTTCATTTGAGTAAAGTTATATTGTTTGCATTATATCATCCATTGTGGCTACTGAAAACTTTTACTCATTATCTAAAGGTTAGAAGTCAAGCAGTGGTCAGGAAAGAAGGGGTCAAGCAGGCAACCAATCCAGGCTTTCGTTCAATAAGAGGTCATCCATTTCATGCAATTGAAAGACTTTAAAGTTATAATTATTCTTATTGTTTATCATTTTTTTTAATCAGATAGTATTATTTCCAAACAAAGTTTAATTTTTTTTAAGCAGATAGTATTATTTCCAAACAAAGTTTAATTTTTTTTAATCAGATAGTATTATTTCCAAACAAAGTTTAATTTTTTTTAAGCAGATAGTATTATTTTCAAACAAAGTTTAATTTTTTTTAAGCAGATAGTATTATTTCCAAACAAAGTTAAAAAAAATTTTCTGGGAGGGGCCACAAATAATGCTTAATAAAATTGAAATGTTGTTTACATTTAAAGAAAGAAAATATAAATATTTTTTCATTAACAATTAGATTTTTACCATTTCCACTTGTAAAAAAAGCAATTTAACCGGTTTTTAACAATTGACTCCGGTTTTTATTTTTGTATATATATATATATATATAACTTTTTTTTATTTCATTTCATTAAAGAAAATTTTTGTCTCCTCAAGTGGTAACATTTCTTTTACAGGGGCATACGATTGCTCAGTTTGCTTACAGAATACACCAAATTTTTTATGCCACTGCAGTAAAGAAACCACACGATGTGCTAATGGACTTAAAATATCATCTTATATTGTAATGAATAAAACTCGTTCAATGTTTATAAAGCTATTTAGTAAATGAACACAACCGTAAACAATATTAAAACACACTTTTATTAAACCTAAACATCAGTCGTTACAAATATTTCACCTTATTTCTACTTTCAATAATTTTACAGCGGCAACTTCAATTTCTTTGTGAATTGCATTCACTTCTTTCTGCGTAAGTGTGCGTTCCATGTGTCTGTATACAATGCGGTAGCAGAAACTCTGCCTCTTGTGTTTGGGGTGGAAGAACTCATCCACTTTGTAGACTTGTTCAATAATTTCTCCTCCGACGCTCCTCGCAATGTCATAAAAGTCATTCGGGTGATAGTCTTTAGGTACCCAAAATGATATGTCATTGGTGCATTGGGGGTATTTGCTGACTTCCTGCAACGAAATCATATTAAGTCTTTAAAAAAAGTTTAGGGAAGAAGAATAAAATTTTATAAATATGAAACATATTAAAGATAAATGAGAATGTCATATTGAAACCAGTGTGATTAACTTTTTTCTCTCCTTTAAATCTCACCTGAAGTTCCATTCATTAAAATCTGATAATTTGTGGGTTGCTAGTATTTTTAAACAATTTATATCAGATAATTTTGATGCCAATTTTACTTCTCTCAGAAATATATTATTATTTTATATTACAAAAATTTAGCCCAAAAATTAACTTAGAAATTATACAAACTTACCCAAAAATATAAATTTGGCAAAAAGCATAGTATTTTTTGGATCAATTTCAGACACAGCTAATTACATAAGTTTCAAATTACGTTCAAATGCTAATTAGCTGTTATAATTTGGTTTACACAGAGAAGCAGTCACATCGCTGTCATTTGTTCAAAACTAGTTTATTTATTTTTTGCTCCACAACTAACTTTTTATGGTGTAAAACATTTTATTTCATTTTATATCCGTTAGTTTAATAACATATGCTTGAATAAAAGAAAGTGAGAAGTTTAATGTTTCTTCTGCAAAATTTTTAAATATAGTTTAAACTGGTTTTGAAATAACTAGTATAGAAATTATACTAAAATTTAATTTTAATTTTGAATTAATTGAATTTAAATTGAATTTTCTTTATTTAGTTGAATTGAATATCTAGCATAAAATATAAGTGGGTAAATTTGACAACAAAAGTATGTTAAATTAACATAATGTAAATAAGTATGCAAATTACATAAACATTATTTTTGTATATCAGTTAATAACTTTCTTTTTTCTTATAGTTAAATTGAATACATAACATATTTTGTATTACTTTTTACTAATGCATGATTACCTATATACATATAAAAATATTACTAATTTGTTTATAAATTTTTTTAGTGAGAAGTCTATCATAAATTTGAACATATTTAACACAAAATTATATATATTTTTTTATTAAAACTAAAGCTTTGCTGTTTTATATAATAAAAAAAGATTGCTATCATACATAGTTTAATATAATATTAAATCATGAATTAAATATGGTAAAAAGTGGTTAAAATTATTTTGGTATTATTTCAACTCAAGAAAATAACTATCCAAGAAAAAAGTAAGATCTGTGTAAGAGCATATTATTATTATTATTTTAAATCAACAATGTTTGTTCAAACAATACTTAAAGTACATAGTTGAATATTTATTTAAAAATTAGTAAACTAGACCTGGAGGTAGCCAGAACTTTTTAATGTAAAAATTTTAGTGTGGAGGTACAAATTCAGAAAGAAAAAATTTCATGAGTTTCTAGATTAACTTTATCAAAGATCCTAGTTTTATTATTTTTGTACCTTGCTGCATAGATTTCTTTTTAAAATTTTTAATCATGTCTTAATCTTACACATGAAATACATTATAAAACATTTAACTTACTACTGAACTTGAAAATTAATCTTTTTTGAAAAAAGAATGTGAAAGATATGTGAAAGATTCAGGTAGATAGCTATACAGAGATATAGTGTACCACAAACAAATTTCACACTGCTGCTATTTATTGCAAATAATAAGAAATCTGTCGTAGCTATAAGTAATTTTTAGTCAGATGGGAAACATTTGGGGTCAGTTTGTATAAATGTCCATAACAATTTACTGTTTTCATTACACTGAAGACAAAGAGTTTTGATTAGTCAGTGTTGGAATAAATTTTCCTTAAAAAATATTGATAAAAATTTTATATTATTTTATAAATTCTAAAAATATAAATGCATTAATAAAACAAAAACTTTTAGTATAGATATCTATTTATTGATATAAATTAAGCAAAAATTTAACGTCAGAAAAAATCTTTCAAAATTTGCTGAATTGTTTAATTAAAACATTTTCTAATGTGTGTAACTTTTAGCTAAAAAAATTATTGATAAAATTTTTATATAATTTTATTAATACAATAAACACAAATGCTTAAATAAGTAAAATACTTTTAATAGTTATCTATCATTGATATAGATTAAACCTAAAATGAGCTCCAGAAAATATCTTCAGAATTTGTAAAATTGTTTGTTTGCAATGCTTTCAAATGAATGTTAAATTAACTTTTTGTTAAAGTATTGATTATAATCTTATAAAATTTTATAAATGCATAATGCATTAATAAGACAAAAAAATGTTTTAGTAGGTATCTATTTATTGATATAGATTTAACTAAAATCGGGCATCAGAAAATATTTTTAATAATTTGCAACAACTTAGGCAACAAATAGGATTTTTAGGTACAATAGGCAACAAATAGGATTTTTAGGTACTTTTACCTCAAATTTGGGCATTTCAATTAAATTCCTTCTCATTTTTAAGTGTACAAATTTCGCCAATTTTTCCCTTTTCACTCCGATTTCCCTGTTCAGTGGTTAACCTGGATTTATTAACTTTATAATTTGCATTTAAAAGTATCAGTTTTAAACATTTTATGCAGTTAAAATTGCTTTATACTTTACTAAAATTCTTGCTATACATTATTTCTAATAAGTGAAACTCTACTATAGGGAAACCAGAGTACAAATAGTTAAGACTATTAGCTTTATTTGTTTTTCTTTCTCTAAAAAAAAAGTGATGTCAGTGCAACTTCTTTTTTTTTTTTAATCAAAGTTACTTTTAAATTAGGCTAGGAAATCTGACACAGTATCAAAATTTTAAATAATTAATTAACTAATTAAATAATGTTAATATTAATTAATTTTACAAATTTATAATGCTAATCAATTAAATTATGCTAATTAAATTAATTAACACTTTTTCCAAAGTAACTTTTGTATTTTATTGAACTTCACTCAATTCAATTCATTGAACTTTAATATTTTTTTCCTAAAGTACATACGTCCAAAGGAAATTCTTAAAATATTATAATTTATTAATATATTTTTAAAAATTTTAAATATATTATTTGAAAAATTCGATATTTATTAAATCATTTGATTAATACTATTTTTTTCTTCATTTTTTCTTTGACAAATTTTATTTTCGTATCGCGAGTGTCCTTGAAATAAAGGCTCACATACCTGGTAGTGATCAAAAGAAAAAGTCGGGACAAAATATTTTTAGAAACATCAGTATTGAAAGAAAGCACAAATAATTAAATTCGAAAAGGATAAAACTTCTTTGAAAAAAACTTCTTCGAAAAAAAAAAAAACGCGCTAATAAGCAGCAGAAATTTCAGAAAAAAGTATGAATAAAAGAAACGAAGGAAATAAAAATAAAAATATGACCACCGAAGCCGACGTGTTCAGGGGGTACCGGCCTCGATAGCCATTAAAATCAAAACCATTTCTAATTGAGGGAGAAGCAAATGCTTAAAATATCTCCCTCAGTACCCCGATGGTTTTGTATAGGGGTCCAGGAATGTATCTTGTTTCTCCTGGACCTCAATACAAAACCATCTGGGTACTGAGGGAGATATTTTAAGCATTTGCTTCTCCCTCAATTAGAAATGGTTTTGTTTTTAATGGCTACCGAGGCCGGTACCCCCTGAAGACGCCGGCTTCGGTGGTCATATTTTTATTTCCTTTGTTTCTTTTATTTAGAAACATTAGGTCATTTTTTGGAACATATACAAGTCTACTTATAAAAAGGCCAGAAAATAAAACAAAGAAAACATAAAGTTTGGTCTACTTAAGTATAATAAATACAAATTTTTCCTCAAAAGTATATTATTTTTCATTTCAGAATATATATTACTGTTTAATGGAGAAAATTTAAACACTTTCTAGAATAACTTTAATAATGTAGCACTAAACAATTCATAATAGTTTGAGATAAATATATAGAAAATTTTTATAGACCAGTTCATTAAATAACCATAAATTACTTAATATTTCCTCATACAAATATTTAAATTTTTTCAATTGAGTTTTTTAATTACATTATTTAAAAGTAGGGCTTCAATAATCTTGAAATAAAAATAACTGAAGCAAAAACATACTGAATATTTTACTAAACATTTTTTTAGAAAAGAAAATTAGTAGATAATCCATACATTCACAATTTAGAAATTTCATGATATATTCACTGTATTGTTGATTGAAATTTTTAAAAAAAAGAAGAATGAGATGAATCAATAATTGTGAAACTACAAAACTCTACCCTACTAGATTTGTTACTGCATTTACTGAAAATAGTAAATAAGCAGATGGTCCTTGAATTCATCAACATTAAAATTTGATAATGTAAAATTGTTAAATGAGTTTCTTGTTCATAAAATGTCTGAATTCCTAAAAAGTTGGAAAACAATGAATCTTGTGTAAATGTATGTCTGAGCTATGTATATAGTTAGTGGATCCTCAAATTTGAACTATCAAATATGGAGTTTTTCATATGGATTATTTTAAAATTCGCGATTGTGATCATGGAAAATGGGATATACTAAACACACACAATAATCAGAACAAAAAACTAAAATTCAGGATAAATAAGGTCAAAATATCTTTCATAAGGAAAATCAGGGCAATTACAAACCCTAAACTCTTAATTGAAAATAAAATTGTTTTTTATTTCCCTAATTTAATACATAGATTATTTATGGAATTCCTAATTGTTGCACCACCTAATTCTAGGAATGATCAACATGTACGAAAAATAACAAATCTACTTGAACAATCAACTTGAACAACAAACCTATTTGAATTATATTACAAAATAATATTAAATAAGAAGTACACAATAAAAATTCCACAATGGATTATATCAGGAAAGTTTAAACATTAAACAAAAGTCTAAATAATTTTTCTATTCATAAAATAGAATATTTTATGAATAGAATATTTATAAGGGCAAATTATTATCTCATTAATAATTTTTATATCACAAAAACAATCAACTTTTTTATAACTAAAAAAGTAAACAATTTTTAAAATTTTCATTAAATTTTAAGTGTACATAAACTCAAATAAACTAAATATTAAAAAAGTAAAAATAAATTGAATAAAATTATAAGAAATTGAAACTTATTCTAACTTTGTACTGAATAGGAGTATCTATCTCTTTCACGTCAAATTGTGATAAAAATCCAGAATCTTGACTCCAGAAAAGTCTGACATCTGGTATGTCATACAGTCTCATGGCCAATCTTTCCAGACCGATTCCAAATGCCCATCCAATTTTTTCTGTTGCACCGGCTATAAATAATTAATTGTTTATTATCTTTTCCTTTTAAAAAATATGTTGAAATAAAGTTAACGCTCAGTTAAATTAATGAATCCTTAACACCATATATGATGATACATTAAATAATTTATTGTAAGAAATTCTAAAGTTGAGGACACAGGAATATAGGATAAAAATAGGAAGTTTTGCAAGAGGCCAGTGTTGGCAATTTTAACAGTGGCTACTTTTTTAAAATATGTGGCCACTACTAAAGAGATAGAACATTTTTATACAATTGAAAAAACTGTTGATAATAATTATCAGCAATTTTTTAATGAATGTAAAGAACTTTAGAAGCATTTCTCAAAATGAAGAAAATTGTTCAGAAACAAGCAGTTATAAAGTAATTTTCAGAATATTATAAAATTCTCGTAATTTCACGTTTATTAAAAAAAAACAATAATAAAATGCACAATGATATTGCATTTTCAATTTTAAAAAAAGGGGGCAATTGAGTGGTGACTGACAGACAATTTGGTAATTGCCATTTTTTATGTTCAGTCTCCTTGTGGTGGCTGTTAATTTTACTTTACACTAAGAAGACAAATTTTTGTACAGAAAAAAAAATTATAGCCTAGGATAATAAATTGAGATAAAGAACTATAAAAAAATTTGATTTTAAAGATTGTGAGAAAACAACACTGTTCAATGGAATATCAAATCATAAAATAATATTAATAAATTAATAATATGTTTAAAAGAAAGGACATACTAACAAATGTAATTATGTACCTTTGTTCAGAATTTCTTGTTCCATTATTCCGCAGCCAAGAATTTCCAGCCATTCCCCATCATGTAATATTTCAAGTTCCCAGGAAGGATGTGTAAAAGGGAAATACGACTCCGTCCATTTATACTCAATATCTGAAATGTTATTTTCATGTAATTAATAATTCTAAAAAATTAGAGCAAAAATTTAGTATGCAAAAAACAATAGTAAAACAATAGTTTAGTATGTAAAAACAAAATAAACTTTTGTGTTTCATATTTTTTATAGAAGAACAGTAAATATGATAAATTTCTAATCTTTTTTTGGATCACTGTCTAATTTTGAAGACAAGAATTTTTAATCACCTTTGAAATAAAACAATGAATTGTTCAACATTCTCAATACAATACTTTTAATCATATGCTAAAATATTTATTATTAATCAATATATTCATATTTCTAATTTTTTTCCAGCAATTTTTATAAAGGTAACCAATACATTTAAAAGTATTTGTATAAAAATAAATTCAATTTGCACCTTACAATTCAAATTAACCAATCAATAAAATATTTTTAATAAGAAAAAAAATAAATATTAATTAAAATAGAGTAACATGAGGATAAAGAATCACCATTACATTTTAAATAGAAATGGATAAAGTACAATTAGAAAAGGTATTATTTTTAAAATGTAAAGAATTATTCACTTTGAATTAAGTTAGAATAATAAGGTGATAATAATGTGAATACCTCTTAAGAAATCATTACAAATGGTCCAAACTACTGTAACACTATGTTAGTGGATCAAAAATTCAAATAACTTTAAACTAATTTATTAAAATATCTAAAATGGTAATTTGCATTTTAAGAAGCAAAGTAAGAAATTTGTTAACATTCTTTTTCCTCAAGAAACTGTAACATAAATAACTGCTTTAATTGCTTCTGATATGTGTGAAATTAAAAATGCAAATGATTTTCTTATAGAAAAAAATATATATATATTAATTTTAAAGTATATAAACTATGACATTTATTACATTGCATTATTTCAAGTTCTTATTGATATGATTGTATTGTCCATTACAACAACTGCTTTTTTCCAAAAGGTGAAAGAGAAAAGATACGTAGCAGATAAGTATTACCTCTGCTTTTGAAACTGAAACACATATCATTAATCAGGGAGATATTTGAGTTAATGTACTAAATTTGGAATCATTCATTAATAATTCAATTATAAAATGTCCAACAATAGTTCAGGAGGTTACTGAAGAGTTAAGAACCTTTTCCTTCCCCCAAATGATTAAATTGGAGAGAAAACATTAAATGAATTGAAAATGCATCAAATTGATCTGAAGAGCCAGGACTATTCAAAACAAACTGCAAATAATTCAACTTTCTTTTTCTTTTTTTTACAGTTGCACGAAAGTAAAATGTGAATCTTTATTTTTAAAAAGTTTTCTTTGAATCTTGATCAATATAATTTTATGTATTAAGATTAAATAAATATCATGTATGTATTATTTTAAATAAATATTATTTAGTTAAGAGCATTAGTTTTGTCAACTAACAAATCCTGCTCTTAAACAGGCAAGTCTCCTATGCAAACAGCTTTCCAGTTGCACCAATGCAAAATGTCAATTTTTATTTTTATACAGTTTTCTTTGAATCTTAAACAATGTGATATTATGAATTAAGTTTACATAAATATTATATAGTAGGTATTATTTTAAATATATATTATGTAGTTTCAAGCATTAGTTTTGTCAATTAACATGTCCTGCCCTTAAGCAGACACCTTTCCAATGCAGGTAACTTTCTTGGATATGAGGATGTCCGCTTACTAAAGTCTCACTTTATTTTGGAACTAGATACATATTTTCCTGTAAATACGATTTGAGATCTTACACATTATATAACATTTATACATAAAAATATAATGAATGTTTTTGAAATTTAAAAATTATAATTTTACTTTAAGTTTTAAATATGGCTGCAATAACTATTGAAACAAAAACAGTGTCTTCGTTTTAGACATTAAAAATATGTATTTTCATTCCTACCATACTTTAAAGCATTTCCCCCCGTGAAAATAGCTTACTTGATGAGGCATGCAATACTAAAATGTGAAGCAATATTTGAGGATGTAATATTTGAATCAGCATACAATACCAAATATATGATGATGTAATACTTGAATCGGCATACAATACTTTATTACACAATGCGTTTATACTCTATAATATTTGATGATACAATACTTGAATCATTACACTATATTTTGTTGTATGATGTTTTTATATTACATTTTTCTATTAAAACAGGCTAATCTTATTAAAAAAAATTAGCTCATATTTTAACATCTAAGATAGATAGTAAATATAATAGAATGGATAATAAATCTAGCCAAAATTGAAGAAACAATTTTAAATACCTAGTATGAATTTATATCTTCTCATAACATCATTGCTACAAAATTAACTAGAATTTTAAAAGATAAATGGTAATAATCAAAGTTAACAATAGCAGATTTCAAAATAACACTTTAGCAATGTATATTTATTTTATTATTACTAGAGTACAGATTTTTCATTTTAAATTTGTGTATATTTTATACACTATAACTAATATATAATGTATTATACTATTACTAGCACATATTCATTGTGTGCAAAGAGCTTATCATATTTTTTTGCTAATTGCAAAGTAATTTATTTTTAAATAATTAATTGAATCTGGGAGAACTAGAACAGTAATGAAAATTGAGATATAGTCACATTGTTTCCTTCTTAATATTTTGCCATTCTAGGATTTGGTTCTGTGAACAGAATTTTTCTAGCATTATCAAAATTATTTCCATAAACTAATAAAAAATAAAATATTTACTATCCGTTTGAATTTTTAGTAAAGCAGTTAATAAATCATAATTTAATGCAAACTTTAATTTTCAAAAAAGGAAAATAAAAAAATCCGATACATGGGAAATAGCTATAATTAATTAAAACAAGTTATGCCTTTAAAATCATGGAACAGTAAAATTTAAACAAAAGTCAAATTAAAAAAACAGTTGATGGTCCAATTGTTAGCGATAATTTATGTGTTTAAAATAAAAATATATTTCAAATCTGATACACTATAAAAGTTACTCTTCTAATTTAAGAATAATATTAATATTAATGTATGGTATTTTCAAAACTATAAAATAATTAAAAATAATCATGAAAGTTTTGTTCACATAAATTCCATACACACAGACAATCTTTTTAAAAGTTTACTATAAAAATTACATTTACAAATTCTGACAATAAATATAAGTGAAACTCAGACAGGCAAAAATTTTAAATAGCATATATTATAGTATACAAGCAAATTTTTTTTTTTTTTTATAAAAAACATAATTAATTGGTTGGAAATTTTAAACACATTGAAACACACAAAAAAGGATACAAACCTTTCCCAAAGAATTTTTTTACTAAGCCAGATAAACAGTCCTTCAGGTCTTTTTCCATTACTTTAACAGCTTCCAAAGTATGACACCCTTGTTTAATAGAATCTCTAGAAACATTTTCAAATATCTTTAATTGTTCACCACCAGGCACTTTATTGAATACCTGTTTTTAAGAAAAAATAATGAACATTACACGGAATTCATAAAGCTATAAAAATGCAAATAAATACATACAACAAATTTTATAAAATATTGACTATTTGAAAAATCAATTCATCTCAATAAATATTAAAAAGTCATGTGAATTTCAACAGAAGCAAGAACAAAAGCTAAATTATCTATTCAGAACTACAACAGTTATAAAAATAAAATATCAATACACAGCTTGAAAAAACATCTTTAAGCTATTTAAATTGTGAATTAAGATGCACGAATAAAATAACAGAATTCATAATTTTTGGTATCTTAAATACCTTATGTTACCTGCCTGCATTTTTTTCCCCCACATAAGTTCGACCTTACACAATGAAAAAATTGCACAGCTTTATTTTTATAAAACATAAATTGTTTCTAAAAATTAATAGTTTAAATATAACTTTGGGAACATTTCTGTATTGGTACCTGTTCTAGTCAACTACTTTCACCAAAGCTCTAAAGTTTTTTTTTTTGCTGGCAAAAATAAAATGGGAAGTGGTTTCCAAGGGGGTGAATTAAAAATATCATTCAAATTTGCCCCCCTCTGTGATGTTTTTAAGGTGCCATATCTTGGTTGCTACAAAATTTCGGTGTAGGTACCCCTAACAGAAATCTTCCCATTAGTTTTCAAACTTAAATAACAAAATTGATAACAAAACCTCATGAGATGATAACAGGCGAACACCTTCACATTGATGAAAAACAGGGTAATGTTTTGAGTCAATTTCATCTCTTCTATAAACATCTCCGATAACTAAAAAATGATCTAGTCCTGATTTTATTAACTCATGCTGGTGAGCAGACGTATGAGGTCGCAAAAGAAAATTAGAATTTAAATAATACGAATCACTTTTACTTCTACTTGGATGTCCTGGAGGAACTAACAATGAGTCAAAATTCTGTTCTATGGTGACAACTGGAAGCAGACGATCGTAAACTGAGAAAAGTGGAGTACCTCTCCAATTTACGTAATTTCCGTACATATAACGAATTATTCTCTGTTTGATTAAATGCAAAGGATGGTTTTTAATATGATGCAAGTCTTTTGAAAGAAACGAAAGAATATGAGAAGTAACGTTTGTAAATTCATCTCCTTTATATGAGTTTCCGAACACAGATATAATATCGTTTTTTGCTGCTGTTGCAGTATTTGACAATTTGGTAGAATCGTTTGTAACATTTCTAATATTTAGTTTTACTAATCGTAAGAGTAAAAATGAGTCCTTGTGAACTTTACAAAGTGAAGACACGAATGAAGACAACATAATTAATGACAGATTCTATCCTAAAATAGCTTACATCAGGAAAATTAATTAAAAGAAACCTTTCTTTTCTGTTTCAATCAACTACCGAACCATAGAATAAACAAAAACCAAAACACACAAATGAAAGTGAAAGTGACTTAGGGATTTTTGAAAGGAAATAATTTTTATAAATTATTTATTGGAAACTATAGATTGTGGTTAGTAATTAGAAGCATATTTTCATAAAAAATATTTAAAATTGAAAAAGATTTTTGGTGTAGAAACAAAAAAATATATGTATAATATATATAACTATCAGCACTTTACAAATATGGCAACAAAATTTTTGTTTACAATTTGAATTGAATGGCGTCGCGCAGGATGGAAGTGTTACGATTATATAAAAATTTATTAAGAGAAGCCGGAAAATTTTCTAGTTATATGTATAGGTTTGACATAAATTTTTTTTATTTATTTGTAGTTGTAATATTATACTATTTTATCATTTCATTAATCCAACTGTTAGTGTGAAAATCATACGGAGATTTCTTCTGCGATTTAAGAATGAAATATTTATTGCCTATTGTTTCTTGTGTTTAATTTAATTTCTTTATTCTTGATTTATAGTTTGATACCATGAGCATCTTCTTTTTGACACCTTAATGATATTCTCAAATTAGACAAAAACAATCTTTTTGTAGCTAATATTTTGTTTATTTACCCGTGTTTTAAGTGTCATTACTTTTTTATTCTTTTTATTTTAGCTACTTATTTCATTTCATTTCGTTGCTATCTTAATTAAGTAAATTTAAAGTTAAATTTTAATTATTTTTCATCACTTTTGCAGCATTTCTAAGGGATAGGAAAAATATAGACTTTTTTTCAATCATTATTAATATCTTTTGAAAAGTAAGATGGTAATATCTTGGTGATAAAATGAATTGTTTAAAGACTCTCATAATTTATGAGATTCTTTAAGCAATAGGAATGTTTTAAGACTCTGTTAAATATAAGAGACCTATTCATAAAGTACTCTTACTATAAGAATTATTAACTATGAATATTACTAGTATAAGAATTATTAGTTACAGAGCCAGGATAAATTTTGCCTGGCGCGTCAGTCTGTTTGAAACCTTCCAAATCATTTATGCATGTATCAGTCGTCTGTAATTAGCCATATTGTTTTCTTGAATTTTGTGTTATAATATATAGTCTTATTATAAACATTAATCACAGAAATCTGGGCATATTCTTTAAAAAAATATCAGGTATTTAATTTTTTTGGAAAAAGGAATTTAAATATTGCTTTAAAATAACTGAGCTTTATGGAAGGAGATAAAAATTTTAGGTACTTATCTATTAGCAGATACCAGATAAAACTGGGTGATTTTTCTTAAACTTTTCCAACATTAATTTGAGTTTATTGTTATAATATTTGTAACTAGAATACATTTAATGAATTTAAAGTTAAATTAGTAATAATATTCCTGGTTATATTTACTTAACTACCTTTTTTCGCAAAACTTTAAAACTTTTATGTCGTGCCTAAGATTTTTCATCTGGTATATAGCTAACTGAAAAGTACCAAATTAAGTTTAACGCATATTAAAAATATTTTTTTAAAGATCTTAAATTGTTCATTAAGCATTAATCAAACTATTAAAATGAAATAGTTTTGTTTTGAACCTTATAACTGAATAACGTACATTTTGCCAAAAATATTTCAAGATTTAAATATTTAGCTTACAATATGTTGTAGCATTTAGTGGTAAAGATATCTCTTCTATACCAAGGAGAATTTCAAATTTTATGGATACCTAACTGGAACCAATATTCTTTTAAAAAATACCTAAATAGATTATTATTTTCCAAAAATATCATGCTAATTCAATTTATGATTTGGGAGTAGCTAACAGAAAAGGATATTGTTTCCTTCATATTTTTTTTAACCTTTTCATTCAAGATGAATTTCCTTATGCCTAAAAGACAAAGGAATAGAAATGATATTTTCTTTTTTGGTTAAAATTTTATAATTTATTGCTTGCATATTATAATGACTAACTTTATTTGTATAAATTTAATATTTATTTTCTTTTAAAATTATAATTTATTTGTTATTGATATTATTTTAGTTATTTTTCGCGCATAATCTTTATTGTGTTTAAATTTATTAAATATTAAGTTTAATAAGTTCAAGTACTTAAAAATGCATTATTCTTTTATAGAACTTACTCTTTACGTCGAATCAAAGATGCTTTCAAGGATTACAAAGATGTCACAGATCAAGAGAAATTAGCTGATTTAATTACATATGGCAAGAGTAATCTAGAAATAATTAAAAGACAGGTTTGTTTTCGTACTGCATTTTGTTTGTTTTTGATTTATGTTTGTCACAATTAAATTTTGATTCTACATTACTTAAGTAAATTATTTATTAGGGGTGCACAACCTGTGGCATATCAATGTTTTGATGGGTGAGTATCGGTCCCCTTAATTACACATGACTGAGTCTTGTGCCAGTGCATGGACTCTTCCTACAGAAGAATCTTTCATCGTAACTTTTACAAACAAATCGAGAGAGAGCGAAGTCTGACTAAGTCTCGACCTTTTAAACATTGAGATTCGGTGTCATTGAACTATTGAGAGTATAAAAACTGAGCCGTACGCGGAAGGTTAATGTGTTTTTCTTGTTTAATTTGATTCTATGAAATTGCGTCTTTCCTTGTGAGTATTTTTTAGATATTATGGATAAAAAAATTATTGTTATAAAAATAGAACATTTTCACAACAATCTCTGAATTTATGTCTTTAAAATAAAGTTGCAAAACAAATTGGTATGGTTCAAGTTCAGGCTTGCTCTGAAATAATCTGTAAGCAAATGAGCAGATGACCAGTATAAAAGTACTAGACAGCTTAACTTTCTGATGTAACAGTATTTTTTTTTCCCTCCAAGGTTAAAAAATAGAAAGATTTTTTTATTACTTTTAATGTTCTTCTTTAAATAACATTCTTATTTATTTAAGATTGTTCAGAAAACAAGTTAAAAGGCTACAAGTTCCTTTTTAGACCAAGTTTAGTTAATGTAAAGTGGCTTAATTTATATTTTCCATATAATGACTAACTTTATTTNAGGATTTCTAAAAAGCATGATTTTTGTTAAGAAAAATAAAAACAGTTTGATTTTTTATAGTTTAAATCTGATTTCTTCTTTATTTTTTATAAGACATCTAGTAATTTTTAAGAATATAAAATTTTTTCTGAGAGTGAAACATGTAGTTTAAATGTAAAATGTTAAATATGGATAAATAAATGTTATGTACTTAAGAATGTTAAATGTAATTGAAATAGTTGTGTACAATTTTAAATATTACTTAAAGTCCTTAGTATAAATATTTTTTCACATATGTATGCAATAAAACAATTTAAAAATCAAACTATTAAATTAACTATCTGGAAATATAAATTATTGTTCAATTTATGAAAATAAAATACACATTTATTCATTTACTGTTCATCACAAATTTAAGAATGCAAACATATTCAGAAAAGAAAAAAAAAAGTCATTAAGATGAGTTTAAACAACTAGAAAAGAGATTTTTCACAAAAAAATAAAAATAATATGAAAAAAGTTTACCGATTTACACATGCTTTTGTAATATTGATTAAACATAATGAAAACTTTAAAAAAAATAATAAAAATAGATGCTGTAGTAATACATTTAAAATTTTCTAAAAATAACTAAGGCAGGGACTTTCTATGCAACAACTTTACATTGCCAGTTAATTTCTAATATTAAATTAACTGATTTATGTGTAGAAAATAAAAAATAAATGTCTCATAAGGAGAGACATTTAGTAAAACTGCTGCTTTATTTTTTCTTCTGTTGCTTCATAAAAATAAGAATGTCAAATATGTCTTCTACCATTCCGAGGAAGATTTTTGAGATTCAACACCATCCTCAAATATATTCATGGAAAGGATCTTCACCAGCTATAAATTAATGTTATGAAATTACTAGAATATTACTTCTTACCACAGTCAAAAGCTTTCCTATCAGTTATGATATACAGTCGGACTTCTATTTAATGAACTTCCATTTTGCGATTTTATTCGAGGAACCAATAACATTTTGAAAATTTAGTCGTAAAATAGCTTCCAAATAGCGAAATGAATTTTCTATTTAACGAACTTTTCTTTTAAATCCACTTTCCCTATTTCCTACAATATTTCAGAGCATTTCAAACTTGTTAATGCATTTAATGGGGGAAATGACCTTGAATTGATTTTTGCAGCCACATAACTTTTAAGATAAGCTGTAAAATCCCTTTCCCTTTTTGTTTGCATTTCATACGGATATTCTTTTAATTCGTAGTTTTAAAACTTCAAAATTACAATTTATTTTAACATTGCAAGCATATTTCTCTATCTTAAGAATAGTTTTTTCCCTTTTTTTTTTTAAATAAATTAAGTTAGTTAAGTTTTTCTAATTTCTAAATCTAGAAATATTTGTAAACCTACAATAAAGTAAAGATGTAAGAAAACATTCTTTATTTTGTCTTTTCAAATTTAAAAAATTAAAATTTTTCTGTTGCAGTTGATACATTTCTATTGCATTTTCAATTCTCTTGAATCATGCATTTACATGAATTGTGTCTTACTGTACAACAATTTGTAATGCAATAACTATGTTACTTGTTTTTATGTTAAAAATGTATTGTTATGTTTTATTTGTAATAATCTAATTACTATAATTGTGTTTATAAAATTTACCTATTTATGAACTTAAGTTTTTAAAATATCTTCAAAAAATTCAAAAATCCGATTCAAATCAAATAAATCAACAAAATATTTTTTTAAATTCGCGAAAACGCTACTAGTCTATGTATGACATTAGCGGCTTGATTAATGAATGCACTTTTTATCTAGATTTTGAAACCTATAAACATATCTCATTATAACAGCTATCATTGTTATTTTCTTATTTTAGGTCATAATTAGTCAACTTTTCAAGGATCCTGAAAATGTAATTGAAAAACATTTGAAGGACAAGAAAACACAAACCTGATCGATTTTTGAAGACCTTTTCTCAAAATATTAATGTATATGAGTTAGTTTGTTGCAAAGATATGCATAATTTGTTTCACTCTTTCAAAAACTCTTATTAAATTTAATATTTTTAAAGTAGAGTCATCTACTGCGCCATGTCTTCCGCTTGCTGATCATTGTATATATGTGTGTATATATTTTATTTTAATTTAATCGTGTATGATGTATTTTCATTTGAAAATTCATTAAATGATTATATTTAATTTAATTATTGGTTTAAGCATTCAAAACGTGTATTTGTATTAATATTCATCTTATCTTTAGTGTTTTATCATCCCATATAAAACGTTTTAAGTATTTAAAAATTCATTAAAATATTTTAATCAAAAATATATTTCCTGATGTAAAAAATATTTCTCTGGTTATTCTAAGAATATTTATCTAGTTATTTGAGTACATATTTAATTTCACTTAAAATAACTGTTTTTTTTTTCTGTTGAAATATATATATATATATAAATGTATTAAAAAAGATATTTTACTCACTTAGTTATAATAATTCAAGATTTATTTCTTTTTAAAAGTTCAGGATTGCTTAGATTAATAATTAGATGAATATCTGGACAGAGCTACCTTAACTTGAGAGTGAAATTCATACTATATTTTGTGTCCAACAATTTAAAAGTTTTTGCAATAAGAGTATTAAATTTTCTGACCTTTTTGATAATTTTTTTTGAAAGTTAATTGAAAATTTGTATTTTTTTTTTTTAAAGAAAAAGTTCTGATCATTTGTATATAGAACCATTAATAGATATCTTTTTTAAAATCTATGATCAGATGTTTCAAATTTAATATTAAGTGGAAGTTGAACAGCTTAAAGTTTCTTTGATGTTTTTACCCAACTTATTTAAGTTTTTTTTACATATTTTAGTTTAAAATAAACATTACATTCACTTGATTACAATTATTAAGGGAAAATATTTTGGTAAGAGAAAATTTAGCTGTAGTTTTTGTCTTATAATTTATAGCTTATACCTCCACACAAACATCTCCTCTGTCTAACACCAAAGGACTTTTCGTCCCCTGTAGCTGAAATCTTGTAATTTCAGTATTTTTTCTCTCCCCCTTCTTCTTGAAGAATGTTTCTCATTAAGTACTTCAGAATTCAGTTTACTATATCAAAATTAAACTAATTTTTTTTTAACAAAGTAAATTTAAATAAACATTAACAGTTTTTAAAATTGAAAAATGAAATTTTTGAGGAACTAAGAGATAACCAGATTGATAATAACCAGATAGTTTAACTGTGATAGGTTAAAACACACATTTACTCACCTTTACGTTTTTATGCATATCATTATACCACATTTAATAATTCCAACATTGTTATAATCTGTTTAAATTTTAGGAGGTTAGAACAATGATAACTGGTTAAAAAAAAATTTTATTAAAATCTAATAAAAATTACACAATAATATTTTCATTTTAATAGTTTTCTTTTGACTAGATTTAAAGAAGAAAATTAGATTTATGTAATATTGAATTTTGTTTTAGTTGCATACAAACTTTTGATGATAGTGTATTAAAATGTGGTGAATTAAGAGCTACTTAAAAAATCTTAACATGTCCAAGTTTTTATTTAAAATTAATGTTTTGTTAGAGAAGGAATTTTGTAGCCTATAAATAAAATGATAATTTTATGCATGCCTTTATAAAATAATAACAGTAATAAATATTTGATATGAAATAAAAATTTATACAAATATATTTTATATTTTTAAAATTATTCTTCCTAATGTTATGGGGATAATAATTGAAATTCCCTTGAGGGTTTATTTTTTCCACCTGCATAAAATAGAGTTTTGAAAATAACTTTTTTTTTCTTATAGAAACATTTAAAGATTTGCAATTGATCATTAACATTATAAGTTATTAAAACCAGGGTTTGTTGATTTAAATCAGCTTGATTTAAATCAAATGATTTTTTTTAAAAAAAATCATTGATTTAAATCAACCGATTAATATCAATTTTAAAATCAATATATATATATTGATTTTTAAAATTAAAAAACAGTGTTTTAAATTATTGATACTTTTCTTTCTTTCTTTCCTTAGTTTTAAAATTTCTTTTAAATAAATTGCTACGTTAATTAATTTTAGTTAACGAAATTACTTTCTTTCTTGGTGTGTGTTAAATTCCAACATATATGAAATTACATTTTTAAAAATCTTTTGATTCTTGAGATTGAAAGTACAGATTAAAGTACACATTTAATGCTGTCTTATTATAGACTTGCATAGCTGTAGAAAGTAATTAATAGACATAAATTTCGAAAAAAAAAATTCAAATCCTAAGTAAAATTCTACCTTTTTATTGAAACAGCATGGAATTAAAATCTACATTATATTTCATTGGTGGAAAATGTATATTTCTAAAGCTTGAGGTTATATTAAAAAGAAATTACCCTAATATGCCAAAAATAGAAGAAGAAAAAAAGGCTAATGAATTCAGATATTTTTTCCTGATATAGTGTCATTCTTCCCTTTCAAAGTCTATTTGAAGCAGTAGAGTTATTAACTGGTAACTGGTATTTTTTTCTCATAATATGTTTACAGTATCTTTGACATTATCAGATTTTCTNTCTGTAAAGAAATTTTGTGAAAAAAAACTCCAATGAGTACATAGATTTTCTAATTTCTTTTTTAGCTTAACTTATCTATTTTGATATAGAATTAAAAATGAATATTTTAATATAAAAATATATCGATTAAATATTTATTTTTTGATGAATGACTACATTTATAAACACAATCAGTTACATTTATTTTGTCATATTAAAAATCAAGAGAGATAAAAAACACAATTTTAAATTACAATTATGGTTTGCTAAATGAAACTTTAATTTAATAAGCCAAATTTGCTACTGCTTAGGGTACCTTTACAAATTCAACTTTAGGAAAAATAATAGTTTCACAAAATACTTTTTTTTTTAAATTTTATATTTGTGTTTCGCAAGAAACGAATAAATCCATTTTATTGTGCTGATTTTTTAACATTATTTTTAATTTTCACAAATTATGTCTAAATTTTCACAAAATAAATGCCTCTCAGAAAAACTTAGACAGACCACTTTCATTAAATTCTCTATTTCATCTAGTCTTCAAATTTTAATTATTTGTTTCAAAATGATTGCTATGCATTCAAAGCTATGTATTGTAATGAAAAATTATGTTAGTAGGTTAGAGCTTCTAAAATATTCTTATAATATTGTTTTATTATTAAGTTTATTTTGATTAAACATTTATAAAGTATTTTTAATCATAAATTAAAGTTCTTACAATGTGTTTGAATAAAAAAAAAAAAATCTGATTTAAATAAAAAAAATCACGAACCCTGACTAAAACTATACAATATCTTTCAGCTCAATTAAAGGCATTTAAACAAAGCTTATATAATGCCTCTTTCCAGAGGTAATATAAAGTCCAGAATATAAAGTCCCTGTAACCTCCCAAAGATTTACACCATTCAGCAAATTTTTCCTGACCTTTCGGCATGTTTATGAAAATTCATTTCTCTTATTTTATTTAGAAAACACAAATGAAATTATTAAGTACTACTCATTTGATTTTTTTGATGAAAACAAGAATTCATAAATATCGCTGTAGGTATCCATTTGTCAGTTTGGCTGTGGTAGCCCAATGGTTATAGAATCGGACTTCGGTCCAAAGTGTCTTGGGTTCAATTATCGACTTCGCTTACACCCACTGAGTACATGCTCGTAAAATCTGTGGCATAGAAAGTCCTGTGGTTGGTCGCTGAGCAGTATTATGGATACAGGGGTCTGAAGAAAATTTCCTTCCCCTTCAGATCTATTTTTTTCCTGGGGAAAGGTCTGAGGACCAGAAAATACTGGATTCTTTGCTGGTTGTTTATACGAAAATTGGTAAACTCTACTAAAGATCGAATTGCAGTCACTCAAAAAGTAATAATTTCTACCATAAAATGAAAAAATTAATTCACTAATTTTTCTTTTATATACTTTATTTATAACATTCATTCAGCTAATAATCTCTTAAACAAATTCTGCATTTCCATATTCACTATTTCCAACAATGCTATTGTCATATGCTAAAAAATAATTTTTCAAAGAATTTGGATATAGTGAACTACTGTTTATAGTGAACTTGTTGCTGGATCCGCAGACAGTTCACTGCGACCATGTTTAACTGCATTAATTTGTGCACCCTTATGTGTATTTTCTTTTTCTTCATATTTGATTAGAATTTTAAAAGTATATATAAAAAGTAATCATTCCCAAAAAAATTTTACATATTAAGGGCAGTAATTAAGAAACATCATGTAAATATCTAGGTGACTCTGTGAGGTTTTTTAAAATTAAGTTTTGTGTCACCCTAAAGAGTCTCAGAATGAGACAACAGAGGAGACTATTGTCTCTGAACTAAAATCTGACCTCTTTTGTGAGGGGAGTGAGGCAAGCGTTCAGGAACTTAACTCAGTGCCGATAGTAGTCTTGAAAATCTGAGAAAGCTCACCTTTTTTTAAAATATGTGATGTTTGTTCCACAGTTTTGCAACATACATCACGATAGTGGTGATGTTACAATTTATTCCAATCGGTCTGAAGATAGAGCCCTAGTAAGGGGCTTGGTGTAATAAGAATCGTACCCCCACCCTCCACAGTGGCAGAACAATGTCCTACGTGTTCAATAATAATAATATAATTATGATTATAATTTTAGCACTTTTATTTGGGATTGTTTTGGCTCTCCGATCCCCCCTCCAAAAAAAATTAATAAATAAAGCATTGTAAAATAAAGATCTTTGATATATTTTAGAATTTTTGTTTTTGTATTCGATAACAAGAAGGATTTTTTTTTTTTTTTTACGGTGTCCTGGAATAAAACTTTAGTCGATTTTAAGTAGCCCAATAAGCGGACACAAAATCACCTCACTGGCGGTGGGGTTCTAGTATATATTTGAATTATAACTTTGAAAGTATTCAGCAAAATTTAACAATATTTTCGGAGCACTTTAAAATTATTTACAAAATTATTGTTTTAAAATTAGAAAAGCATTGTTAAATAAATGTGCAAGATATGAGTATTTAAAGTAATTATCTGGTACTGCTCCTGCACTAAACAAATTAAAAATTATTTCTTAATTTTGTAGTGAAATAGTATTTGGCAAAGTGAAGAAAGTCTGATTTGAATATCATACAAATTTAAAAAAGTTTCAAGCAATTTTCTA